CCATTCGGTGAGCTGAAGCTATTCTCTCTCCAACAAAGTCTGGCCCTCAGCCCTGGGAGGAGGGGGAGGGGGTCTTCCCTAGACAGCCCTCAGAACAGTAGCTGCTCCTTATACCTACTGTTTGTTTTTATTTTATTTATTTATTTAGGCTACATCGGGCCTTCATTGCTGCACGTGGGCTTTCCCTAGTTGCGGTGCTTGGGCTTCTCATTGTGGTGGCTTCTCTTATTGTGGAACATGGGCTCTAGGCACACGGGCTTCAGTAGTTGTGGTGTGCGGGCTTAGTTGCTCCACGGCATGTGGGACCTCCCCAGACCAGGGATCGAACCCGTGTCCCCTGAATTGGTAGGCGGATTCTTAACCACTGCACCACCAGGGAAGTCCCGTCCTACATTTTAAATCAATTCTGACAATATCTACCTGGAGAGAGCAAAACATCTCAGGGCTCAGTCCCATAAGACTGCCCTGCCCCCCACTTCAGATGACAATTGAAAGTCCAGGTTGTTACCTGTGCTTCTGACCAGCTATAAATTGGAGGTTCCCAGGACCCCCTCCTTGGGTGCAATTAATATGCTAGAATGAATCACAGAACTCAGGAAAACACTTTACTGTTTACCAGTTTATTATAAAAGGATATGATAAAGATACAGATAAACATACAAATAAAAGAGATGCTTAAGGGTTTCCCTCGTGGCGCAGTGGTTGAGAGTCCGCCTGACGATGCAGGGCACGCGGGTTCGTGCCCCGGTCCGGGAAGATCCCACATGCCGCGGAGCGGCTGGGCCCGTGAGCCATGGCCGCTGGGCCTGCGCGTCCGGAGCCTGTGCTCCGCAAAGGGAGAGGCCACAACAGTGAGAGGCCCGCGTACCGCAAAAAAAAAAAAAAAAAAAAAAAGATGCTTAGGGTAAGGTATGTGGGAAGGGGTATAGCTGTCTTCTGAACACACCATTCTCCCAGCCACCCCCCACGTGATCGGCAACCTAGAAGATCTCCGAACCCCATACTACTGGAATTTTATGGAGACTTCATCATATAGGCATGATCAATTATTAACTCTATTTTGTCTCTGGAGGATGGGGAGGTGGGGCTGAAAATTTCAAGCTCCTAATCATGGTCTTTCTGGTGACCAGCTCCCATCCAGTAACCATCCAGGAGCCCACCCAGAGTTGCCTCATTAGAACAAAGACATTCCTATCACCCAGGAAATTTCAAGCGATGTGGGAGCTCTGTGCTAGGAACCGGGGGTAGAGACTAATATATGTATTCCCTATTTTTTCACAACCTGATCCCAGGCTGACCCTCCTCAGGCTGCTCCTACCCATTAGAACGCCTTTGCCTCATTTCCACACACACAAGTCCAGGCTTCAAGTAAAATTTTGCCTACTAATAATCAGATGGTGATAATTTTGGAAATGAAGGAGGACCAACTAAATGAGAACAGGCAAAGGCTATTTGTTCAGAGCTGGCTATAGCGAAGGAGTCAGCCACCATCACGTGCATCTGGCAGAGACCCAAAGGCAGGCAGAGGAGTGGCAGAGCTTCCTAGTGAAAAAGTCGGGGGTGTGGCCTGGGGAGGCTGGAGGTGGGCTACCTAGAAGTGGAGTATCCATGCGATTGATTGGAGGACTGTGTAGGGCTTTCTCTGGTTGGTCCTAATTTAGAAGTGGGAACAAAAATTAGGGATGCTGTAAATTATTGACCAAGTTCTGGCCATTTGGCTTGCTTGGAGGTTATCATTTGCTTTTCTGGATTACTAGAGATAGCAGTCTGACTCCCTCCAGGTCTGATTTAACAACAGCCAGCTTCCCGGGCTGGCTACTGTAGAGAAGGGGTGGGTTCCCTGGGCTGGTTGCTACGGTTTGTGGGTCAGAATGCTATTTTTATAAATGGTCAGACCATTGTCTGTGTAGTCAGTCTCTCGTAACAGACATAAGGCTAGCTGCAGTGTTAATTGAGAACAACATTTCTGCCAAGGTCACACCTCGACTGTAAAGTGTCCCAACAACCTCCTTCTTTTTCGTGATTACTGCTTTCTTACCACTTACTTCCCTAGCCTGCTCTGTGGCCCCATCCCATGAACAAAAATGACTGGGACCCAGTTATTCAACTGCCTGCACTTCATGAAAGCCGCAATCTAGAGCTGATCCTCACTTCCCCTCTCCTCTCCTCAGAATTATTCAGGGCAATCCCAAACCTTACAAAACCCCTTTTCTACTCTTGTAACGAGAGGCAGCCCAGAATTCCCTGGGATTCTCCCTTGTTGCAGGAGATTAATAAAACAAACTTCGTTGGACACCTGGTTTGTCCCTGGTGGACTTACCTGTTAGATTTTATCACCCAGCTCAAGTATCACCTCTTCCACTAAATCTTTGGATGAAATTTTTTCCTCCCCCGCTCCCAAAGCACTTTATTCATATGTCTCTGATGTTAACCATGTTAGGACATTCCTGTACTAGATTGTTAAGTTCCTGTAAAGATAGGGACTGTGCGGGATTCCTCGTTGTATCTGAGAGTTCTAATGAAAGGAATGATGTGCACCAGGCCAGACTAAGATGGAAAGGCACTGACATCACCTGGAGACACCTTTGTACAGATGCTTCCTAGCTAGAGTTTTCGAAAAATCCCTGAACAACTGAAAATTTACCCTCAGTTGACCTGTTCAAAGACAGTTTCCTGGACTCACATCTTTACAAGATTCCAGCTCTTTATTTTTTTTAAGTGAATCTTTTCACTGTTTCCAAGGCTGACTGCAGCTTTTTCCTTTTTGTCCCTCTCACTTGTCGAGAACTAAATAGCTAGCAAATAACTACCTAGATGTCTCTGAGTTGTTCTTCGACATATGCCATGCAATACTTCATACCATGCTGTGCATGTGACAAATCCAGTATTGACTTAATTAGTGAAGAAAAGAATTTCTTTAGAGTTGATTCAAGTGAATTCTCAATGCATTTATAATATCCAGTTTCCAGGCCTGTAAATGATAAAGGACCAAACCAACGCAAAATCATAATGACCCCTTGGAAATAGAGCCACCCTGTGTGCCTCCGGTGAAAGAAACCTTGTAAGCCCTACTTTGATACCTCCTTGCTTATTACCTTCTGTTTTTTTAAAATTTATTTATGGCTGCGTTGGGTCTTTGTTGCTGCGCGCAGGCTTTCTCTAGTTGCAGCGATCAGGGGCTCCTCTTCATTGTGGTGCATGGGCTTTTCACTGCGGTGGCTTCTCTTGTTGCGGAGCTCTAGCTGCACGGGCTTCAGTAGTTGTGGCACGTGGGCTCAGTAGTTGTGGCTTGCAGGCTCTAGAGCGCAGGCTCAGTAGTTGTGGTGCACAGGCTTAGTTGCTCCGTAGCATGTGGGATCTTCCTGGACCAGGGATTGAACTCGTGTCCCCTGTATTGGCAGGCGGATTCTCAACCGCTGAGCCACTGGGGAAGCTCCTATTGCTTTCTGTGTATTCTTTCAGAGCCAAATCTCTGATTTTCTTTCCAGGCATACATCCCACTTGGCTTGGAAGAATAATGGAGTTACTCTTTGGAGATGTGGTTTTAGAAAAAGTTCTTTTCAATATTCTGATAAGTACTTAAGAAATTGCTGACAGGTCTGTCTCTCTTTGTGCCTGTCTCATGCAGCCTCCTAGTATAAGGCAATTGAGCTTTGATTATGTGGTTTTTAATGTTTTGGCATCCTTTTTTATTACTTGGATAAAAGTTTCCATGGAACATCTTCCCCTTTCTAGTGAATTTTGTTGGTTATCATATCAGAAAAAAAGCTGTCCTCTTTTAGTCCTTGGCAAGCCCACCTTTTCTGGTCACACATAGACACCCACACTGTCACCCATGTTCTGACCCTCCATAACCAGTTACCTTCCTGGTTCTCTCGATTACATCATGGCAGAGTGACAGAATGGACAGAGCAGTGATCTGAGATAAAACAAGCCCTAGCCGTCTATGAGACCTTGAGCAAGCCACTTAACCCCTTTGGGTGAATGTTAGTCTCCATGTGAGCAATCTGTTCCCACCCTATGTGTCTCATGACATTTAACAAAATAATGGGATTTGTATACTATAAACTGCTTGAATGTATTTACTAGGTGCTATACATAAAATATGAGTTTCAAGTATTACTCAGCTTTTCTTTACAGAACCAAGTTCTTGCTTTCGTAGCCTTATATTCAAGACCTTTGAATATGTAGTTCTTATCCATTGCTCGTCATGGAGAAGACTCTACAATCCTGTTAATGCTTAGCTGTATTTCCAACAAGCCACGCCCTTTCCAGTCTAAGTACCTTCCAATGCGCTTTCCTCTGCCTGCGTGGAAGAAATATATTTAAACCCCAAATTTCCTCGCAACGCAGAGAACCTCTCCACAAAGACAGAATGTGATGCACATCACAGTTAAAAGGGACGCAAACACAGAAAGAAACCCCACTCTTCCGTATAGTTAAGGGCAATTTGGAGTCAGGTGACAAGTGGGCCCTTAGCCTCCCAGGACACTGGGAGATCAGAGTTTCTCCCCCTTGACAATAACATTTCAGAAAGAGTGTTCCCAGGCCCTTGGGAAACAATCCTGAGTCGTGAGACTAGCCGTGGGCATATTTAGCCATTAGGGATTGACATTCCTTTGAAAAGGGCAGAGAATTCAATTCTAAAAGCAAAGGGGGTGTCTTCCCCTATTCTGAACAGGGACCAAGCGTCCAGCTTCTCACTTGTGCGACCTTCCGCCTGCACCAGCCTGCCGCGCCCAGCTCCCCGCTGGCTGCCGTCCTCCTGTTCCTTTACGAGGCCCGCTTCCCTGCCTTCCTGGGTCCCCCAGTTCCTCCCGGGGGTAACAGGAACACGGCGCGCCCCGTCTCCACCGGTTTACTAGACTTCCGCTCTCGGCCTCACAAGGGACTACCGAGGGGCGCAGCTAACGCGCACCCAGCCTCGCCCTGGCGCCCCTCGTGACGTCATCTCCCAGGGCCGCGCGGGTCACGTGACGCCACGTGCGTCTGCCAGCGGGCGGCGGGAGCGTGCGCGGCTGCACCCATGGGTGGCAGTTGGGGTGAGGCTGCTTCTTGGGGTCGTGGCCATCCAGTGCCATCAAGGGTCCCAGGCGGTGTCTGCCATCTACTGAGGCCAGGTGAGGGTCGTAGGGCGTGCGGGCCTTGCTGGGATGCGAGGTGCGGGGCGCCGGGCCCAGTTGGAGCGGGCGCGCCGTCTCCAAGTTATTCCGCGCTTGGCTCCGTCGGTCCGGTGATCGTTGCGGGTGCTTGGCCTGGGCCGTTCCGCCCTGCGGTTGGAGGGGAAACGCGAGGGTGGTTCTAACCGAGCTTCTGAGGGTCCCGTTCGGAGTACACATGTGGCCTTGGCAGGCAGCGCCGGGAGGAATGGGCTCGTGGGTATAGCCTCCCAAGGGGCGAGAACTAGGAAGGCGACACGAGACCTTGCTTGAGCTGACCCCGTGCCCCCTCCAGGTGGACGGCCCTCGACTGCTCCGCAGCAGATGATCTGTAAGATGGCCTGGTAAGTGACATTGCTCCGGCCCCAGCTCCCCATTCCCGGAACTGGGCCCGCAGTTCTTCTCCACCATTATTTCATGGGTAAAATGAGGATAGAGTCAACTTTTGTGTCATGGTCTACAGTTCTGCGAAGACTGTGGAAGAAAACTCGATTTTGTGTAATGAGGTGGTGATAAGGATATTTACAGGGTCGTAAGGAATGAAGTTAAAGTTAACTCCTGTCCTTTCAACTGCTTGACAAAGCTGCCTCTCCCAAGGCTCCTTCCCTTACTCCCTGAGCCAGAAGGGATTGCTGTCCGGAGTCCTTCCCTTCCTACTATTGGTCAGTTATCTGTGTCCAGTGGGTAAACCCAAGTAGGCCTAATTCAACCCGTGATCTCTTGTCCCAGTTTCTGGTCCCGGCTGGTGCTCAGAAGGAGTACGGCTGTCTGTCCAGAGCTTTAGGGGCTGGAAGGAATGTGGGCTGCAAGCCTCCAGCGTGCTTGGGTCTGCAGTGGCCCTGTGCATTCCTACAGTGCTTGCAAGAAAAATTTTGAAACGGTTTGAGGCCTTGCCCTGCTCCATCCAGAGCAAGGTTATAGAAATTTCAGACACTTCCCTGCTGCCTTCCCTATCTGGTGTGCTGGGCAGCATACAGACCTGTACTGTCTGATGTGGTGACCACTTGACACATATGGTTAAATTTAAAACTCAGTTTTTCATTCCCCCTACCTACATTTTTAGATGCTCAGTAGCCACATTTGGCAAGTGGCTACTATATTGCACCGGGCAGATTAGAGAACGTTGATGTCTTTGCCAAAGTCATTTTGGATTTTAGGTGTTTGCTCTGTTCCGGGCTTGTGGTCAATTTTATTGTATTATTTTATTATATCCTTCAAACAGAAGCCTTACAGAAGTTGTAAGTGAAGCTCAGAGAGAGTGGTAAAGGTGAAGTTAGACCCGCAGCAGGGAATAAAGAGTAGAAAGGAATGATAGGGATGGGCCCTGCCCTTTGGGACATTACCATTTGCGGGTAAACCAAAGAGAAGCAAAGGCTAAATTCTGCAGTGGTGGAATGGAGGGAGGGAGGGAGGAATGGAATCCAGAAGCGGGTAGGAAGTTTTGGTTCTAGGGAAATGCCACTGGGCCTTGCCTTGGGGCGAGGGCTGTTGGGTACAGGCAGGGATATGGCCAGCATGGTCATAGCAGGGCAGCACAGCTCCTATGCTCCTGCACGGCGGGGGTCACACCACACCTTCTCCCTTGAAGGTCAAGGCTTCTAGCAGACTCGGATCTCTCTCTTCAGTCCAAGTGCAAATGCTGAACACACCAGTCTCCTGGGGCTGCCGTCGGGACACTGTCGGTGAGTGTCATGGTTCTGCAGTCCTAGGAGCGAGGCACTGGCTGCCCTTTGACTTTCTTTTCAAAGATGTTCAAATAGACAGCCGGGGTATGTACGAGCTAGTACTTCCAGAGCAGAGATCAGGCCTGCCCACTGTCGACTGTAAAAGATTTGGCTTTCCTGTGCTCAGGGTGCCTTTTCTGTGGTGCAGCACACTGCATTGCGAGTGCCTTCCCTATCTGGTGAGATCTGGGGCTGGTGGAGAACGCTGGTGCTCTGTCTACCTACTGCTGTGGTGAATAATCAACTGTCTTTGCTTTGTGTCTCCTACCAGCTTCCATGTAACTGATGGGCTACCTTGTCATGTGCCATTGCTGGGGGGGTATGTCAGACCCTTCACAGTTCCTGAAAGCACAGCCTCCCAACCCCCAACAGACTCTGCCCTGTGTTCCTGCTCCAGCTTCAGCAGCAGAAATCCCAGGATGTGAGAGCTAGAAGACACCTGAGAGATGATCCCTTCCAAGGACGACAGGTTCTTCTGGGGACTCTGCAGTGGTAAGTGTGCAGGGTCTGGCCTAGCAAATCACTTCACTTCCATTTTACATGTTAATTTTCCATAAGTCCCCTTGTCAAGAGGTTCAAAACCATACATTTATCCTTACCTTCCCATGTTGGAAGTCGGGTGGTTGAGTCTCAGATGAATTGTCTTTAAGCTCCCGAGACTGTTTTGTGGACAGATAGTTGTCTACTATCTAGACTCGTGGAGGTCTGATTCTTTGGCATGGCATTTTGATTGCCTTTGTGGTTTTGGATTCAACCTGCAGCCTTTTCCCCAAGAATCTCCTAGGTCAGTGGTGTGTCAGCCTGGAAAGGGTGGGCTGCTACTAAGTCTCTGTCACAGAGGCCTCTTGGCACATGGTGGAGTCAGGAGTGGGAACTCAGGTTCATTTCTGTTTATTGCCACTCAGTAGCAGTTGGCAATGACAACAATCCCTGGCTATATCCTCACGTCACTTTATTTTAACAGCAGGCCTCCAAGTTGTTTCCTTGTTTTGTTTTTTTTTGTTTTTTTTCTATACGCGGGCCTCTCACTGTTGTGGCGTCTCCCATTGCGGAGCACAGGCTCCGGATGCGCAGGCTCAGCGGCCACGGCTCACGGGCCCAGCCGCTCCGCGGCACGTGGGATCCTCCCGGACCGGGGCATGAACCCGTGTCCCCTGCATCGGCAGGCGGACTCTCAACCACTGCGCCACCAGGGAAACTCCTGTTTCCTTGTTTTTTATAGAAGAGGAAGTGGGAACTGAGGTGGTGGCCTGCCCACACTGACATACCTGGTGAAGGTGCAGCAGAATTTGAACCCAGGCCTTTGCACCACAGTTCTCTGAGCAGGTTCAAATCCTCACTTGCTCCCCTTCCAGGAGTCAGGAGTTTCTGGTTCTTGGCCCAGCTGAGGTGTGGGTGGCTCAGGGCCAGGTGTGCATGTCTGACTGACGTTCTCTGACCCCAGGTTTCGGTGCCGTGTTGTCTGCTTCCAGAACAAGGATCTTCACTGTACATCAGGACCCAGGCCCCTCTGACATCTCCTGAATGAGAAACAAGGGATTTAATAAAACGGTGTAAAATTTGTAGTTCAGTCCAGCCTCTGTTTCTGTTAGGTACAAAGAGGAGGAGGGCCCTCCCCTCCTTGAAGGAGTTTCAGCCAAGTTTGAGGGGGCCCCTGGGGTGTCTCCCACTCTCATTGCTTTTGAGACTGCAGAGTGGGTGGTAGGGCACCACTCCTGGAGTAGCTTCCACTGGCTTGATGGCGTTCTCTGTCTTTTGTCCTCTTCACCAGCGTGGGTCAGACTCGGTTACACACCAAAGTGTTGAGTCCACGGTGTGTGGATTGATACTTTTAGGATGAGTGATGCACCCTCACGATCTATTTCACAGTGGAAGCCCATTTAGCTCAACGTTGTGACCTTTTCAAGGAATGTCAGTAGGTTAGGCCAAGGCCGACTGAGCTAGAAAAGATTCAGTGAGCCGCGTTTACATTCAGTTTGTTAGTGGTGTTGTGAATGGAAAAGTAACCAAAGGTCCCTCCACCGCAAGTCACTGCAGCTACACCCTGAGGGGGCGGGGGCATAAAGCCTCACAGCTCCGAGCCGGGTACCAGGGGAACCGCTTCTGACAGCCTCCCTAGCAGACGAGGAAGAGTGAGAGGTGGCGGCTCCTCCCGAGCGCCGTCAGAGGGTGAGCTGTGTGGCCTCTGTGGGTACATGCCGCTCCAGGGCACCTTGGCAGGGCCCTTCCCTGCAACTACCCAACAGTGTGTGTGCTCTGAGATGAGGTGGAAGTAAAAGCAAATCCTAAAGTGGATACAGTTGTGCAGGGGACAGAGAAACAAAGGGACTGGGGACCTGCTACAGAGGGCAGTGGCACCAGCAAGGGGAGCCAGAGTGAGGGGCCATCGAAGGGACTGGACAGAGGGCGGCATCTTGAAATCGCCCTAGGTCGGAAAATGAGAGTGAAACTGCCGCCCTCAGCCCCCAGGGCCACCTCCCTGCCGTCCTTCCATCCTCACTTGACCACCTGTTTGTTCCACCTGTCACTGTGCCCCAACTCGTCAGACCCTACCCGGGGAAGCTGCATGTAGGGCCACCCTTTGTCCTGCCTGAGACCAGCGGACCCAGAGGTCCAGCCAGACCCAGGACGGGGAAGGATTTCTGCTGAGCTGTCATTGGCCTCAGATAAATGAGGCACTGGGTGGCAAATCTTTTGTGCAAGCTGTCAGTGGAGAGCACAGTCCTGATCGCAGTTAAGTGCAGGGCCACAGCAGCAGGGTCTAAAGCTGGGGCTGGTTAACCCACGGGCCTACCCCCAACCTAAGAATAGTCTTGACATCTTTACATGGAAAAAAAAAAACCTAAAGAAAACTATTTTGTGACATGAACATTTTTTTTTAAGCTTTTTTTTTTTTTTTTTGGCTTTGGCTGTGTTGGGTTTTTGCATTGCTGCACGCAGGCTTTCTCTCTAGTTGTGGCGAGTGGGGACTTCTCTTCGTTGTGGTGCGCGGGCTTCTCACTGCGGTGGTTTCTCGTTGCGGAGCACGGTTTCTAGGCTTGTGAGCTTCAGTAGCTGTGGCTCACAGGCTCTAGAGCGCAGGCTCAGCAGTTGTGGTGCACAGGCTTAGTTGCTCCGTCACATGTGGGATCTTCCCGGACCAGGGCTGGAACCCGTGTTCCCTGCAGGCGGATTCTTAACCACTGCACCACCAGGGAAGTCTCATGACATGAAAATTTTATTGAGTTCAGGTTTCAGTGTCTCAGGTTTCACTGGAACAGCCGCATCATTCTTTTCACTTGTTAATTTAATGCAAACCCCAGGCCCAGAGATTGGGGAAGTGAAACCTTGAGGCTCTGTGAGAACTCCCCAGGTACTCTTGAGCTTTGGTTTGGAAAACCCTTCAAAAGCACCAGCCAAAGAGGCAGGGGGTGCGAAGGGAGTCTTCAGAGACTGGGAGGATGAAACTTGACCAGAACTTGCTCACGAGAAGCCCCAGGCCTGGTGCACGGTGGAGCCAAAGCCTGGTCCGGACGGGAGGGTCCCCTCGGAACAATGGGCGCAGTGCTGTGAGGCTTGGTTTTATCAGGCGTTTGAAAATAAGCACTTTACAATTTCATTAGATATGTATTCGTTTTAAAGTCTCTGAAGGAAAAAAACCCTTGCATATCAAACAATGTTTCAGAGTTTAAAAAGTGAGTTGATTGATGAGGACCTACTGTATAGCACAGGGAACTCCACTCAATGCTCTGTGGTGACCTAAATGGGAAGGAAATCCAAAAAAGGGGATATATGTATACGTGTAGCTGATTCACTTTGCTGTACAGTAGAAACTAACACATTATAAAGCAGCTATACTCCAATAAAACTTGATTTAAAAAAAGAGACTTTGATCACGCTTGGTTAGAAATTTTATTCTAGTCTCGAGCTAAAATGAACCCCAAATTGTATTCTAGTCTAGACCCTAAATGTCATAGAATAAATTCTTTTATTCATTCAGGTTAAAAAAAAAAAAGTGACTTGACTGAAAGACAGTTCTTAAATAAACTAGCTTTTTGAGTAGAGAATCCCAAAGGTAGTACACGGATGACTCAAACTTGGGAAATGCGCTGTCTTCCCTGTGCGAGGGGAGAGATGAGAGAGAACTGCCTCGTGTCCCCAACCCGGACGCCGTGTGGTCGAAGTCTGAGCTGGCCCGTCTGGCCACTTGTCAAGGGCCCGCCTGCTCCACGGAGAGGAGTGAGGCCACACCTCTGGGAGATGAGGACCAAGGTGGGACAGGAGGGCTCCTGGCGCAGCTTCTGGGTCTCACTACTAGAGGGACAGGCAGGCGGGCCCCGAGGACACAAAGGACCCTTTTGGGAAACATCCGGAAGCCTGGACCAGTGGCAAGACTGGGTCTCGGCATGACGAACCCAGACCACCAGCCCCGTGGCTGTGGCGGGCTAAGCCTGGAAGCTGGCTTTGTGGTTCACATCGCAGCGTGGTCACACTTGGAAGGAGTACTGCCTAGGCTCCTGCCCCAAAGGCCTGGGTGTCGGCATTTGTTCGCCTTTTGTCGAGGTGCAATGTACCTACCCGAAAATCCGCCTAGTGCTGAGGTCTGAGAGCTGACGGCGTTTGCGGCCACCGCCACGTCAAGAAAACCCTGCTCAGGGGCCCACCCGTGGCCTGGATGCAGCAGGGCTGGGGACCGCAGAAACGCGGCTGCTTGGGGCGAGGGTGAGATCATAGAGGGTCGGAGTTTCCACCGTGAGGCACGCCCTGAGGGGAACCAGGAAGCACGGCTCAGAGCCCCTTGGGAGGGGACGGCAGCCAGGGAGGGCAAACCCTCCCTGGGGCCACAAGAACCCACTTCCTACTTCACCACACTGGCTGCGGGAGGGAGGGCTGGGCCTGTGCGAGAGCACCCCTCCCTTGAGCTGCTCTGCACAGGAAGGTCGGGGCAACCTGGCCTGGGTGCTTCCCGCCGGCAGGATGGAGGACGAAGGACCTGAGTGCGGCAAGCCCGACTTTGTGCTTTTGGACCAAGTGACCATGGAAGACTTCATGGAGAACCTGAAGCTCAGGTAGACCTAGGGCAGGGGCTCCCCTTCTCCCCATCCCCACTCCCGCTGGTCTCCGCCAGCCCCAGCCCGCTGTCTGCGTGACTGCAGGGGGACGTTGGGACAGGAAGGACTGTCGCCTCAGGGCCAGGGCAACCAGCCAGTGCTAGAGCAGGCTTCCCAGACCCGGGCCTCCCACACAGCCCAGGTGCCTCCTGACCCCTCCTCCTGGCAGGTGCCAGGCCCCCGGACCAGGTGGATGCTCCATCCCCCTAGTGGGGCTGTGCTGGGCCCTGGGGGCTCCAAGGGAAGTGGTCAGGGCCCACCCTCGGGGGTACAGGTGGACAAGCTGAGATGACACTCTCAGGGGGGCATGTGGAGTGCTTCAGGGCATGGCCGGTAGAAGTGACACGGGGCCCTATTTGCCAGAGGGCAGAGGGCAGGGAGGAGTTGGTCGTGGCACCAGGAGCTGGCTTCATCCCTGGACAGCCAGGGGGAGCAGAAGGTGACTGTGCAGAGCTTGGGGACAGGTCCCACTGACCCCCGATTGCTGAAGTCAGGCACAGGCGGGCCCTGAGCCAAGGTCAGGGCTGTGGGATGGAGAGTCAGACAGGAAATGAGCTGCTCTCTTGGCGGCAGAGAGCTAAGCATGATTTCACTTCATTCCTATAAACTAGCTTCTGAGACAGGTATTACCATCTCTGTATTAACGATGGAACCCCGAGCCTGGGGCCACACAGCTTGCAGATGGGAGAGTCTGTCTCCAGCAGGTCCCGGGTGTGCAGGGAGCCAAGCCAGGGAACTCCCGCGTCCGTCTGAGGCAGCTGAGGAAGAGGAACCCGGGACCAGCTGTCAGGGGCAGGGCGGGTCCTGCAGGGCAGCAGGCTCCTCCCAGGGCAGAAGGGTCGAGGGAGGGATGATGCACACGGGCACCCTTCCGGGTGACTAGGCTCCTGCAGGGAAGCGCCCAGAACTCTGAGGAGGCGCCCGGGGGGAGGGTGGTGGCACTCCTCCCAGTCCCTGCTGTCTGGGTGGGGCTGGGCTGGGTCGCTTCTGCTTCTGAGTCCCCGCCCATGTCTTGAGGCGGAAACAGCTGGAGGCCCCTCCCTCCGCCTCCCACCCCCATCTGCTCTGGTCCTCAACCCAGCTTCCCACACTGCCAGCTCTGCCTTGGCCAGTGAGGCCTGGGGCAAGTCAGTCCCTTAATGAAGTGGGTAGTCATGATTCCCGTGACATCAGGATCCCCGTGGAGAGCAGCTTGGATCCCACCACCACCTCGTGTGGGGTGCGACTCCCGGCAAAGGGCACCAGGAAGGCTCAAGTCAGCCGGCACCCTCTCTCCCCCCGACTCCCTCGTCTACTCTCAGCCCTGCGGGTGGGCCAGGGCCCCAAGGCTTCCCGCCTGGGCCCAATGCCCCGGGACCTAGGTGTGTGTCCCCGAGGCCCCGAGCACTGAGGACTGGCCCTGCCTGTGCCAGGTTCGAGAAGGGCCGCATCTACACGTACATCGGTGAAGTGCTGGTGTCCGTGAACCCCTACCAGGAGC